GATGGCATCTTTGCCACTTGGGGTCTATTCAATACTAACTTGTTATGTACAAGCTGTTATCTATTTTATATGAGTTGGAAATGGAATGAATGGAATGGGGGAATGTAAACGGGCCGTTAGGCAACCGTAAATGATGAATATCTAATTGGGAACAAAGAAACAATAAAAGAAATATGAATGAATGGGGAAAATGTGACAACGGGTCCGAAATGGGAATTGTGAAGGTTAACTCCGCAACACTTCGCCACAGCGCCCGCCTATCCTCCCGTCAGCAACCTCCTCGTCTCCAGCTTTCCAACGAGCCCCTATTCGTCCCATTTGGTGCAGTACTTCTTGAGATGTGGCCATTGACAGGTGCTGTCAAGACCACGTGAGACTCTACTCCGTGCTGAACCATCCGGGCATGGGATTGCCATTCTGGGAAATGCTCCGGGGGTGAAGAAGGAAGGTAGAGCATCACTATCGGGTGGAAAAACGGCTGGGTTGTATGTGTAGGTATGGAGATCTGGAGAGGGGGTGAAATTGGCGGCGTGGTTGGGCGTGGGAATTTTGCTTGGGGTTGTCGGGAATGATGGGGAAAATAGGGAAAAATAAGGAATGAGTTTATGGAGTGTTGTATAGTAATAGAATGAGTATCGGGAGCGTCAGCGGATATGTACTGCGTGTTGGTGACCAAATTCCGCAGAATCCGACTTTTTGCGGTACACGGAGTTGTCCCCACAACAACGTCCCAGCGTCTAGTCAATGCATCTGGTTTTACTCCGAGTCTTCCGGGACGGAATCGGACAGTCATGTGGAACTGGGAGAGGAACTCCGACCAGCGGGCTTGCCGCCGGGTCAAGAGTTTGGTGGTGGAAAAATACTCGAGGTTCTTGTGGTCGGTAATGACGTCGATTGGGGTTCCTGAACCTTCAAGGTAGTGACGCCACGATCGGAATGCGTCGTGGATGGCGAGCAGTTCCTTATCATGGGTGTCATAGTTGAGCTCCGGCGCCAAGAGTGTTCTAGAGCAGAAAGCGACGGGGCGAATCTCTCCGTCATCACAACAGATGGACAGGATTCCGGAGATCGCGTAATCGGAAGCGTCGGTTTCTACAATGAGGGGGGCGTCGGGTAACCAATGTGTCAGGATAGGAGCAGAAGTGAAGGCTTCTTTCAAGGTGTTGAAAGCAGAGCGACAGTCGTCAGAGAATAACCAGGGGGCTCCTTTACGCATAAGGCACGTCAGGGGGACCACAATGTCGGAGTATTGGTGGATGAAACGCCGATAGAAGTTAGCGAAGCCAAGGAAGGACTGGACATCCTTGACTTTACGGGGCTCGGGCCAATCTTGGACAGCTTTGACCTTCTCAATGGACATGGTGAGTCCGGAGGGAGAAAGGCAGTATCCGAGATATTCCGTAGTGTCTGTATGAAATTCGCATTTCTTCGGATTGGCGTATAGGCCATGTTTGTGGAGTCTCCTAAGAACTTCTCGGACATGCTCCTGATGTGAAGCCATGTCTTCCGAGTAGGTAAGGATGTCATCTAGGTAGACTACCACAGAAACCTTCAAGAGGTCGGCAAAGATTGTGTTGACAAATCGCTGGAAGGCCGGGGTGCATTCGTGAGACCGAATGGCATGACAAGCCACTCATAGGAACCATAGTGCGTGCGGAAGGAAGTCTTCCATTCGTCGCCTGCTGCAATGCGAACCAGGTGGTAAGCATGCCGGAGGTCGAGTCTGGTGTAGACTGTGGCACGGCTAGGTGCATCAAGGAGGTCGGAGATGCAGGGGAGTGGGTAGCAATCCTTTTTGGTGATCTTGTTCAGCCCTTGGAAGTCAACACAAAGACGGAGGGATCCATCCTTCTTGCGGATGAAGAGGACCGGTGCCATGTGAGCGGAAGTAGCAGGACGAATGAACCCGGAGGCAAGGTGTTCATCTAAGAATGCCCGGAGGGCCTTGAGTTCCAAAGTAGAGAGAGAGTACATGGTACCCAAGGGTGGTGAAGTGCCTTCCTCAAGGTCGATCTTCAGGTCGTGCTCATGGTGCGGTGCCAGCGTCGAGGCTTTGCTCTTACTGAACACATCCACAAACTCGTGATACTCCTTCGGAACGGCCGAGAGGTTGACGGAATTGGTGTGGGATGAGGCAGCCCTCAAGCGGCTGTCCTCGGAAGGGATGGTTAGGCTGAAGGATACCGATCCTTCAAGTCGACAAGCCTTCGCGAATGCGGAACAGCTGACGAACTCGATAGATGGTAACGGAGGAATGGGAGCCTGTGACTGAGGTGCTGGCGAAACATCAGATGGTTGGATGTCAGACGACGGCAGTGGTGCCAGAGATGACGGGGGAGAGCTCGGAGTAACTGTCTTGGTAGGTTCGGAAGTTTGGAACGTAATACTGCTTGAGACCCAGTCAATCAACGGATTGTAGCAGGTAAGCCAGTTGTGTCCTAGGACTAGGGAACATGATCCATCCAGCGATGTGACAAAGAAAGTCGTGGGGGTGATGTTTCTGGAAGCGAAGTGGAGGGGAATATCAACGGCATGGGTTATGATTGAGTTGGTGCTACCGTCGAATAGGCATAGTTGTAGGGGTTTAATCTGATATGTCTTCAAGGCCAGCTTCTTTACGAATGTGTCGTCGATGAAGCAGTCCGAAGACCCAGAGTCTATGAGTGCGGGTATGTTCTCATAGGAGTGGAAAAGTTTATTTTGTGTCCTATCATTGGACGGAGGAGAAGGGACAGGAGAAGAGAAAGAAGAGAAATGGAGAGAGGTGGATCGATCTACGGAAGTAGTCGGAGGGGGCAGTGGAGAGAGTGGTACATCAGCAACACTATCTACAATGGGTAGAACATTAACCGGAGGGTCAACATTGAGAGGAGAAAATAGACCATTTGAAAGAGAAAAAGAAACGGGAATATGGAGGGAGGATAAGTTGGAGATGGAAGATGCGTTTAAACGCACTTCTTTGAGTGCACGGAGGGAAGAATTGCAACCCCCGGTCCGTGCAGAGTCCATGGGGGTGCGGACTAATTTTTTGCTTCTGTGGAAGCGGATCCTTGCTCCTCGGTCTGGGCCGAACGGGCCTTAGACGCGCGAGAAGAAGACTTGGGACAGTCCTTGACCATGTGGCCAGACTGGCCGTAGAACATACAAAGTTTCTCGTTGAGACGATGCTTACGCTCTTGTGGCATGAGCTTGCCATTGTCTCCGAGTTTTGATGAAAGGTCCGGTTTAGCGGAGGTGGCCTCGGACTTCTTATTGTCCTTTGGAGGCTTGCTACCGGAAGCGGAGTTGAAAGAGGAGGAGGAAGGGTCGGGGTCGGAACGAGAAGCGGCGGTGGACTTGTCGAAAACATTAGAGGAGGAGGGTTTCGTGTGACGTGTAACTTCAGATTTACGCTCCCAATAGTGCGCATCGAAAGTTTGCGACAAGGTGCGAAGTTCAGAAAGAGTAGAAGGTTTACCTACTCTAGCAATATCGTCCTTGATACGTTCCGGCAATTCGTTATAGAAAAAACGACGAAGCGCGGCTTCTCCGTATCCATGAAGTTGAGAGGCATGTCAGTTGAACTCGATGACGTACTTATTGATGTGGTGCCTGTCCTTCATGTCCAGGGTCATTAGTTGAACTTCGGCGTCACCCACAGGATCGTGAGGACCGAAGTTGGTTTGAAGTTCGTTGACGAACTCTTGATAGTTATTCATCCATCGCGGACGAAGCGTAGAATTTTGATCGAATAATAGATCCGGCTCGAACCAATCGAGGGCCATTCCCTTGAGGTAAGACTGTGCGAAGATGACCTTAGCGCGGTCGCTAGCAAAAGCGAGGGGACGGTCCTGGAAATTAAGTTTGCATTGGACCAGAAATACTCGGAGTTCATGGGGATCTTTCCCATTGAACTGTTCGGGCTCACAGACCTTAGTCCGGAGAGTGGAGGATGGTGGAGGTGGTGGAAGACCGGTGTGATGAGCCAAGCTGGCAATGGCTTGGGCTAATTGTGCAATAGCCACGTTGGGGATGGGTTTGGCATTGTTGGCAGTTGGGACAGTGGGGATGGGAGGATCAGCAGGAGGGTCGACAAAGTCGGGGACCTCAGAACCGAGTCCAAAGAAGTGAACGGGGTCTATGGGTTGTTCCATGGTGTCTCTGAAATCGGAATCTGCAACTGGTGATCGATTCCTAACAGGACACATGATCGGAGTCGATGGGAGCAGGGTTTCTAGATTAGAAAAGCTACGAAACTCAACTGGGTTTCTCGCCAATCGACTAGGACCAGGCTGTGAGGGTTCTGGGGACGGTGAGGCGGAGTTGGGAACTAAGGTGCGTAGTTGTGAACGAGTGCAAGGGGCTTTTGGTGCCATACAAGACATGTACTAGTCAGGGAGTAATAAAATACTGTCAGAGACCAGGTTGAGACGAGGGAGTGTCTCCACGACGGAGGGCTCCGGCCTCAGCGACTTGTGCCAGGAGCGCTGTGCCAAGTAACACGTCCTTGCCCTAACTTACTAAACTGGCAACCAGAACTGAAAGGGGTAAACTCTAGTCGATTTTATTACTGAGGTGTAACCTATGTACAAGTTGAGTATATATATAGTTACAACAGGGGCAGGTCTGCAAATGGCAGAGCCAAGCCAAACCGAGCCGAGCTAACGGGATTAGACATTAGCCGATTGAATATTACTGACGAGTTGGGTTACGGGGTTAACGGAATGGTAGGCGATAACCCAGAAATGGAAAGGAGGGATAGGCCTGAAGATGGGCTTGCAGGGCAAGTGAGTGTATTGCCCAGTGGAGGCGGGAGTGCACTAGCGGACGTCAGAGCTGTCCGGAAGCCTTCGGGGCTCCATACTTAGGGAGGCATATGTAATAAATTGAAAGGAGGGGGTGGTGACCATCGAGGGGTACCGAGGTGATTGCAGAATACAGGAGCTCCGAGGTTAGTGAAGAAGGAGCGGAAGTAGACTGGAGGGATCGGAGGGATCGGAAGTCGATGGCCAGGGATGGATATGACAAATAATCTCTATACAAAAGTGCATCAATGTAGATATCATACCAAGATCAACTAACAAGTAACACTCCCCAGGTAATTTTTTGTGGCAAAGGCTCAAACCAAACCTTGACACACATAATCAATCAGTCTTCACTGATTGACACATATTGCTCAGTTCACACAAATATCGAGAAGAATTTCACTGTCACACCTAATAGCACTCGGCACGCTCCAACTAACATGGCCAATACACTCCAGGAACTATGCAAGAAAATCAGATCCTACCATTGCCATTCCCTGGTCCCAGGCTCACATGTTGAGGCCGAAGTACCAGATATTCTTAACGATGGGCTAGCAGAGTACTATCAGGTGAATTCCGAGGAGGTCGATCTAGAAAAAGGGGATACAGAGTTAGGGGCCTTAGAGATGGATGATCTTGAGGCAATGTGATGTATTGTTCCTAGGAAGAGCCCATTTATAATGAGAACAAATAGGTCAAGGAGAGATGTGGCTGTTAGAATGGGGCTGATACAGACGACTCCGGAGTGGAATCGGAGACTTAGTGTGGAGGGACCTTGGCCTCAGCGACTCAAGCGGAGCGCTGTGCCATTGCTGTTTGTCCATTTGGTCCTTAATTTCACAGTAGGTGAGCAGGAAGTCTCTAGGGGGCATTTCAGGTCAATTTCGGACTGAACCAAAACGAGTATGTACAAGCGCCGATATATATAATGGAGGGGGCAAAAGCACAAGGAAAACAAAGGGTACCGAATCGGAACGAAGACGTCCGAACGGGAACAAAGGGTAGAAGAAGCGGAGCGGTACCGAAGGTCATAAGGCAGGACCTGTGATACGTCCGAAAGGAGGTAGGGAGGGCGAGGCCCAGAGGGGCAGGAGGATGAGGGGAAGTGGGGATGATGACTAACTGGCTAGAATAGGAAGAAGCAGTAGTCCAAATAGGGATGAGGGGAAAACGTGAGGGATACATTACAAGCGGCGAAAGTGCCGAAGGCAATCCACGAAGCTCGGGGGTTACGGAGGTTACGGAGGTGGGGTTGAAAGTCCGAGGGATATTGGCAATGGTGTTTACGTAGTATGAGGTCACCAATGCAATGGACTAAGACCGAGGTGGAGTCAAAGTCCGAGGTAGGGACTGTGACGGAGGCTCGGAGCAAAGGTATGAGCGGTGTCCGAGTACGAAGTATGGGACAGCGGTGGAAGGTCGTAACTTGGCGGGAGGGTGGCGGAGGAGGAGCAGAGTAGGAGGAGGAGGAGTAGTAGGAGGGTGGCGAGAGGGGCGGCGTTCGGTCCGAGGTGAGTATTGGAGCAGACGGAGATAGGGGAGGAGAGGGAAGGAGGAGCAGAGGCGGCGTGGGGGGTGAGAGGAGGTGTGTTGCCAGGACCGGAGGTGAGTATCGGAACGGCAGCGGTAAGGTATGACTCCGGAGGTGAAGAGGGTGGAGGTCCGGAAGTCGGGTCGGGGTCAGGTATGCACGGATATGACAGTGGCACAAAAAGGGAAATTTGGCACTTGCCGTTCCTTGTTTGTCTCTGGGAAGCACATGCCGCCTGCCCCACCTACCCCTCCATTTCCGGCAAAGCCTTGCACTGCAGAACAGCTACAGCTTGACAGCACAAGTCGCTTTGGTCAGAGACCTTGTTGATGGCAAAGTGATATTGCATTCCAACTGGTTCATCGGAGAAATTTGGTGTCCATTTCTGCTACAGGTTCTGGGAAGAGCTTTATCTTCTGGCTCCCCATGCTATATGAGAATGGACTCATGATAATTGTTGTTCCATTGAAGAACCTAGGACAGCAGCTTGCTGATGAATCTTCTTGGAGGGGATTCTGTGCTGTGTCAGTGACAGCAGAGCTGTTGGGAGAGTCACCGACATTGCTCGAAGTATGGGAATGAACTTACATTAGGTTCACAAAGCCTGATATGTAAAACCTAGGAGATCAAGTGCCTGCAGTTCTGAACAGTTGTCCTATCTCCTGAGCTAGCAGTCGACCCACACTTCATGCACATCTGGAATGAACCAAAAATCAAGAAAAAGATAAATCGCATAATTATTGATGAAGCCCACTGTGTCAGTCAGTGGGGAAGAGACTTCCGATCATCATATTTACATCTCTCCCGCCTGCATGCCATCCTGGGAGAAGTATCCTGGTATTTGACATCAGCAACACTTCACTCACATGTGCTCCAAGACACCCTCTGTATAATTGGGCTACACCGGAATACTATGATCTACCGTCATTCCAATGATAGGCCAAACATCCATCTCTGTGTGCAGAGGATGAAGTATTCTATCACTTCTCACCTTGATCTTGCATTCCTTGTGCCGCTGAATCCTGAGATTGACAACTCAGACTGGGTCAGACAAAATATTCTGCAATTCCTCATCTACTGTAACTCACGAGTGGATGCTGAAAGTACGGCACTCTTCTTACAAAGCCACATACCAGTGCATGCTTGTCATCGGATTGTCTGGTATCATTCAGGGATGTCAGATGCATTTAAAAAGGAGACGATTGAGGAATATGAGAGGGGGGGAATATTAGGCCTCTGCTGTACAGACGCCTGTGGGATGGTCAGTAATTTGTGTACAAGCTCACCAATGTGGTCTGAAGACTCATCTACAGGGTCTTGATTTACGTCATGTCAGAATTGTTGTCCAGTACCGACTCCCGAAGAAAATTGATGCCATTGTACAGCGTTTTGGGTGCGCAGGACATGACTCCTCAATCCAAGCAACTGCTATCCTCCTGGTTGAGAAAACGTACTTCAGTAAGCCAGAATTGGAACGTTGGGCTTCAAGATTTGAAGATATGCCTTTGACTGTCCCTACAAAGCGGAAAACGGTAGATGAAGCTACAGTCAGTCCCCGAAAGCGGACTATCCTCAGAGAAAGAGGAAATACCCCAGCCATAGACAAAGTGATTGAGGACACACTAAACGCTGAGGCAAGTCCAGAAGAGCTACAAGCATGGGCTGAAATGAGCATTGACCCAGATGACCAGGCACCCAAAAGTGGTGAGGGCAGCAGAACCGATGACGATGCAGAAGAAAGGAGCGACAAGGGAGATGAGGATGGGAAGGTCAGCACAACTGATCAGCATCAAGGATTAGCTTCCGCTCTGCCTGAACGCCAAGAAACAGGGGTGAAGAGCAGGAGCACAGCAAAGAAACCTTCCCGCAAGCGTAAACCCCCTTCAGAGGAGCTGGATTGCCATCTTGCTGCCTTCGTCTATAACTCAGTACTTTTACTTTCAAATTGTGACCTCCGCAAAGGTTGCCAACGGAAAGTGCTTGATTTCCTATATGAAAACAATTCAGTTGGTGAGTATCTATTGCATCATTTGCACATACATACCATGGAAACTGAACCCATGTGAAGCTGAGGAGCCATTCTGTTGCAAACACTGTACCCACTGTCCACCTATGTCATGCTGTGATCTCTGTGACTCCATTCACACTGAAAAGATGCACGCTGCAGATCCCATCCCAAAATCCATGCGCAACCCCAACAAAATCAAAATTGATGAAAATCGGCAACTGACACCACTTGATGTGGAGCTTGAGCATAGGCTCAAAGAATTTCGAGTGAAGCTTCACACCAAGTGGTGGAAAGACATGGAAGATCATTTCCTTGGGCCGCACATATTTCTCAACTGCTCACACATTCAACTTCTCTGCAACCTTGCAAGCGCAGGACCACTGACCACTGTTGACGATCTTCGTAATAACTTCAAGTGGAATTGGATGGACGACCATGGTACCACTCTTCTTGGTATCATTCATGATGTCTATGGGCATTCGCCCCTGGCAGCGGTTCTTCCGGACAGTGACAAGATCTCAGAAGTGGCAATCACATCGGATGACCATTCTGCCATGTCTCATGTAGCCAGTACTTCTTCTGATTCCAAACCTCACGCAAAGCCACGAGTCAAAAAAGGCCCGGGTAGTCAGCGATGCAGCACTTGTCAGGGTTTTGGTCATAATAGTAAGTACTGCATTACTCCTCATCCCTAGCATATTGATATATACGGTGTTCTAGAGTCTAATCCGCAATGCCCTAAGAAGGTGCCTGCACCTCCACTTGCTAGTTCAGACCCCCCCCTGTTCAGCCCCCACTGAGCATCACTCATGATCCCACCCCAAGCATAAATTCACTCAAACATACTGTAATTCCCATACCGAGACATTGCTATATAATACTAGTCTTTGTTATACAATTGATGATGCTGCACATAAGCCACAAACACTTCAATGCTGGCATAACACATACAGAGTTCCAACCAGCGCAAGACTGACATGCCTCGTACACGAGGCGACACCCCCGTGGGAATGTCATGTGTGACAAGTTGTGCCAGTTGCTCGTTAGATTAGAGGCCCCATGAAGTTGCAGATAAACCTTGGCAAATCAGAGAGCGACTGGGGAGGAGTCTGGGTTTAATATCCTTATTTCACATGACAAATCATGATGGTATCTAGCGCTGAATGGTGCCGCATGGTCCTGCATTTTTGCAGCACTGATGGGACCTTGCAGGTGCTGATGATGATGATGATAAATCTATCTTAATACCCTGTGGCCTCGTGATGACATGGCAGTGCGGCTATCCCGTCCTAACACTGGAGCATACATGGGGGGAATATCTATACATGGTGGTATTCTGGGTGGTGTATTCAGGTGTCAATGATCCTTGGGTTCTGTGGTGTCCATAGGTATTGTTGTGGTGATAAAAAAATAAAAATAAGAAATGGAAAAAATGAAGAGGTTCCATCTGTCCCCTGCAAGTCCTGTTCTGCTTCGTCTATCCTGTGAGTCAGTCAGGCAATGGCAGTCCTTGCAGTGTGTTTGTTGTCATTGGTTTGTCACCTGTCTTGGACTTTTTGATGAAATTGGCAAGCCTTTCTATGCCTTTCATCTTGCCCACGAGGATGTGGAATTTTGTCTGGTTTCTGCGTCCTAGTAGGTATCTGTGTCTACTTGTCCAGGGGCACTCCATCAGAATGTGGGCCCTCGTTTGTGTTGATTTACCGCATTGACATGCTCTATTCTCCATTGTGATTCCAAATTGGTGGTAGTACTTGCCAATGTGAGCATGTCCTGTTTGGAACTGGATTACATGGCTGAAGGTTTTTCTGTCGAGTTTTCTGAACCATTTGGTGGGTCTAAGCTTCAGTGCGAGTTGGTTCGCTGCATAGAAGCCCGATCTTGGGGGTTCGGTGTGTTCGTCCATCGGTGAGTTCATGTTTCAGCCATCTCTCTCCTGTGCAGGCTCTCTATGTACAAGAGTGTCAGGGGACAGACCCCGGGTCCCCATGACCCTCCCTCTATAGCCCACAGCCCTGTGTGTAAACAGCCTATCCTAAGGCACAACCTACTGTGGGTAAGAAAGTGAGAAGAAGGTTAACTTCTCACTTTCCCACAGTGGCCCCAATATGGCGAAAACTTCTGGGGATACCCGGAAGTCACATGAAGGTAGGATCCAGGGACCGGAGCATGCGGCACAGGAAGCGCGTGCAGGAAGCGGAGCAGGTCCGGATGCGGGTCCGGGTCCGGGCTAAGTCAGGGTATGTGCCCTGACAGAGAGTGATTTAAAGTTGGGTTGGGCTGGTCGTGCACCTTCTTTTGCTAGCTGGTTGGCTCCCTCGTTCCCTGGGATTCCAAGATGGCCTGGGCACCAGTGCAATGCGATTTTTGTCTCCTCAGAGTCTGTTTAGGACTTTGCATATGGTATTCCTGAAGTCCCTGGCTAGTTCCTGGGCCTTGCGAGGTTTACCCTGAAAGACGCATTTTAGTGCACTAGTATTATCTGCGTATATGATGATGCAGGTGGGTTTTGTGGTGACGTTACCATCATCTAGGGTGCATCTGATTCCATCCATGGCTGTTTTCAGGCCCATCATCTCTGCATCGTAGGCTTCAACATGTTCGCCCATTGCTCCTTTCTCCTTGAAGACAACTTTGCCATGTGAGTATCTGTCATATCCATACAATCCCGACCTCCGCTCTGGGCTCCCGGAACTCCGAAACCGACTCCGGAGCCCTACTTCCCTTCTGTCACCTTCTCCTTGCCGACTCCCAAGAGGTTATCCCACCTCCGGCTCCGACACCACCTTCGGTCCAACTCTGGAACATTCCAGGTCCGACCTCAACCTCAACACCTCCCAGATAAGCATGCAACACCTATGCTCCCGACTCCGGACCTCTGCTCTGGAATCCCATTTGTGTCTCTGTCTCCGGAACCTCCGGTCTTAGCTCCGACCTCGGACTTTGACCCCACCTTTATACCCATTGTATTTGGTTAGCTCATTCCATTTAATTACGTTTGCCAATATTCCGGAGTTTAACTTCCGAGTTCGGACTTTCCGGACTTACCTCGGACCTTGCAACTATTGCATTGTCCCATTCAATTCCGCTATTACTCCCTCATTCCTATTTGGGCTGCTGCTTCCTTTCTATTCAGTCAGCTGGCCATTCCCCACTCCCATCCTCCTTCCTTCCTCTTTGGGCCTTGGCCCTTCACTCCTCCTTTGGGAAACACCATTGAGTCAAACCCTTGACCCTCAGTGTTGTTCCTCCTTCCAGCTCCCTTTGTCTGCTTTTGGAGTACCCTTGCTCCTTTTGATTCCGGACCCCTCCTTATATACAATGTACATAGTAACTTGTTAAACCTCAGTCCGAAATTGACCTGAAATGCCCCCCAAGAGACTTTCCCTCTGCTAGATCCGAAATTAGGGACCCCCAGGACAACCAGCAATGGCACAGCGCTCCGCCTGAGTTGCTGAGGCCGAGGTCCTTCCATGCTAAGTCTCCGATTCCACTCCAGAGTCGTCTGCCCTCACCCAGTTCTAACAGTATCCTACTGCACCAAAGCCAGTTTTGATTCTGCCATCGTCTTTGTATTGGGATCCATCCAAGTAGATGAGGAGTGTGTTTGGGTCATCTTCACACTCTGTGACAAAGTTCATGTGGTCGTCAGCCCATTCCTGTTTGAATGAGTTTCCAGGGTCATCTGGCAGGGTGAAGAGTTGGATTTGGTCGGTGATGTCATGTGCAGATGTGTCCCATTGTCAGGGCACACACCCTGACTAGCCTGGACCCGGACCCGCATCCAGACCCGTGTCTGCCCGCTGTAGGAGAAATAATATTCAAAGAATAAAACAATGATCTATCAGAATAGTCAACGAACAGGTGACAAGTTCAGACGTTTAACAGATCTCATGATCTTTATGAGACTGGACAGACATTAGATCATTATAAATTATCTACACCCATGTAGCATGAGATTTAATCTACTACAATCATGCCTAGAACTTGGCATAGGTGTAATATTCAAAGAATATATCCCTACACCGCTGCGCTTCCTGCATCCGCACACTGCATGTTCCGGGCCTGGTTCCCACCCCCTCATGTGACTTCTGGGTATCCCCGGAAGTTTGCCTGATATTGTGGCCACTGTGGGAAGATGAGAAGTTAGCTTCCTTCTCATCTTCTTACCCACAGTAGGTTGTGCCCTGGATAGGGCTGGTTACACCAGTAGGCTGTGGACCATAGGGAGGGTCATGGGGACCCAGGAGTCGTCCCCTGACACCCATGGGCTTTCAAGGAGTGTGTTATGGAAATGGGAATTTCCCATTTCT